AAGGTGCTTAGCTAGTGTACAAAGCTCTTTGGATCTTTAGGTGAGAAATCCTATGGCTTAGTGATAGCAACTGGTAAATTTCAGTTACTCAAAAAAGAAACGAAGATGGCAGCATTTACTTAAATTCCAAGGGATGCTAGGACAGGCTTTATTTTTACCTAGAAATATTACTTGTGCACTTACTTATGTCAACTTAATGAAGTTAAATCAACACAGAACTTACTGATTCCCAGCTCCAACGCATGTTTGGAGGCCAGTCCAAATCTGAGTCCAGCGGTGCCTGCCACTGTACTATTCCTAGGAGAGCAACAGAGATGTGAAAAGAAATAGATCCTCTCTGTGTCTGCCAAAGCTGTGAGACTTGTACTGGCTTATTTCTCTGAACATTGAAAGAAAATGAATCTTCCTCCAATCCGTGGGGAACTGAAAAGGCCCGCTGTGCTGGTCTCGTGACCTTCAGTCTAATGCTGACTACTCGTTATCCCTTTGCAAAGAGAAGCAGCTGGTGGCAGATGCATTCCTTCCTCCCCCCCAAAACCCCAGATTTTTTTTTTTTTTTGTACTCATTGCACATTCTAGTTTGGAAGTAAGAGGATTGCCCCCTAAGTGAAGGTGATAAATAGTTTAAAATATGTATGTTTCCCCCCTCCTCACATTATATACTATAGCTTTTGAACTTAGCATAAAGATAGAAATAAATTGAGGAGAGATAATTCATTTTAACATTAAGTATGATTTACTTCTGAAATAATAATGCACATTGATGAGAGAAACTGGGAAAGAAAAGATAGCCCTTGGACTCTGTACAGTATACTACTCTTTTTAAAATAGTTTGGCAGTGATTTTGTTTGTAGAGTAACACAGACAATCATACAGTTGTTGCCTATCTCCATCATATCCATAACCATCAAGCTGATCCCAAGTACTGTTATTGGGAAGCCTTACAGACTGAGGAGTATCATAAAGAAAGGTCAATGCAAAGTTTTCTTAATAGGGAAAGCAGTTAGAGATGTAAAACATAACGCTTTAAAATACAAGAAAGAGTAGAGGTCAGCTGTATAAAATGTGATTCATAAAATGTGTTCTAGGTGTAGAAGTCTGGGAAGTTGTCCCAGTGGCCTCAAAAGTGCTTTGCAAACGTTAGTTACCTTCTTCATTCCTAGTTCTTCCATTTCTTTTCTCTTCATTTCACTGTGCATAGAGTCTTTGATAGTAAATCAGTGTGAATTATTCATCATCCGTAATGCAGGTCTGTAATTCAGCCTGCTGACAGCATAATCATGAGATTGAGTCGGAGGGTACAGAATGCATCTGTTCTATTGCATGCATTATTCCTCTTAATGTACACTCAGGGATTATCCCAAAGTAAACGTTTGATTTGGGATACCTCATTCTGAAGAAAGGAGAGATGTTTCACTTCCTTGTCCTTGTAGTTTGTTTTCTGTCATTGTCTGAGGATAAGTAATTCATGACAAGTATTGAGTTTGAATAATCTCAAATTTGTTTTTTGAAGTTTTTCTCCTACAATTCAAAGCCTGCATAACATTATCTTTACGGCCATATACTAAAAAAGCAATTCAAGTTATTGCTTGACTTCTGTATTTAGGAGTTTGTGGCATCTGTTTCCCCGCTATGGAGATGCTGTTTAACTGTTTCTGTTTATCGTTTCACTCACAGGCAAACACCAAGATGTCTGCAGCTCAGAAGGCTCTGGCCAAAGTTGATAAGAGTGGAATGAAATCCATTTCTGCTTTCTTCAGCTCCAAACCTAAAACATCAAAATAAAGACTTGTTCTTGAAAGAATTTTATACAGTGGTTATTTTTATGTTAAGCAAAAGATGTCTCCTGGAGTTTTTTGTTAGTACAGTGTATGCAGGGCATGACTGGGTATGTGGTGGAGTGTGATGGAGAGGTCTGTGAGCTGGCAGGGCACAGAGCTGTTGGGCCTTAGTGGCACAAGGCAATACCATGATATCAGATATTCCATCCTGGATTGGGAAGATGGCTCAGATGCATTAACATGGTGCTGTGAGCCAGAAGCAAACCTTAGCAGGATACCATACTGTGCTGCTGCTCCTTCCACAGCAAGCCTAGTCAAGTCCACCACAGAGTTTTCTCCATTACACTTCATTCTAGGCTGAAAACTTGCCCACCTTTGATTTTTATTTTTTTTTTAATTCATAAGGAGCATTATTTTTTTAAAGCTTTCTGAAGTTTTTTACCCAGTATTACACCAGAGTAGGATGGCATCATTGCATTTTTATTTTGACCCAAATATAAGTTCTGATGTAAGTGTTGTCATTGGTGGCATTTTATCGAGGCAACGATATTCTCTCGTGGATTTTGGTTTTTTTTCGATATGCTGGAAAGAAATGGCAATGAATGTTAGTGTACATGTAATGCAATAAAGTGCTTTGTGTAACAAACTTGTGCTTGTTGTATTTGCTGTATGCTTCAAGAGTTAGGTTGGGTTTCAGCACATTTTTTAAGTGTTTTTGGTATTTTCCTATGTATAAATTTTAATCCTTAAAGAGTTCTGGCATCTCTTTGGCTTTACGTGATAAATCTCTTAGCACATAGCAATGTAGGGGTATTTTTATGTTTAGTTCCAAGGTCAAGAGGTCCTTATGAAAATAATCAGGGAAAAATTGATTTAAAGGCAAGAAGGGGTGGGACTGTTTTTAAGAAGCCTGTTTGGCATTGAATTCAAAAGCTTAAGTATGAGTGTCTTAGATAAGGTTTAGTTTTACAAAGTTTTGCGCAAGGTAGGACTGTTACTTAAAATGCTCTACCCATTTTTTTCCGTGTTCTTCCGTCATTACGGAGTATTGCTGTGTATTTAGCGGGATAGCTGATGTTGTGGCTTCCCTCAGTCACTGGGATCATTGTACAGATCTAGCCAGTCCTGCACAATATTCAATGTCATCCACCAGTTGTACTGAGTCATTACTATGGGTCAGCTACAATGTGTGTTTTTGAAAGACACTCTTACTACACGCCAGTCTTTGCTACTTCGGCTCAGTAGAGAATCTGCTTGTATCCCTTGATAATGCGAGTTTCAGAGAAGTTAGGAATTCCCCCTTTTTGAGTAGCTATGCTGTTTTTCCGCTTCAAACTTATTTGCTGTCATTTACAGCCCTTGGATTACAATGGTATCTGTTAGGTTAAAAAGCTCTGTGGCACTCTCTTCCAACTAGAAATGAAAGAGACGCTTTGCCGTTGTGTTCTGTGCAATTCTGTAATTGTTGTTGAGTCTTGTATGCCTTTCAAACTGTTTTTTTGTTTAACTAAGCTTCAGATGTAGTTCGAAAATGCGTAGAGGGTCAGCATGGTTGGAATTCCAGATAGAGGAAGATACTTGGAAATCTACAGAATTATTGTCTCTGATAATAAATAGTGTTTGATGAGCCCAGAATGTGCAATTGTGGTTATGAACTGGAATGGTTAAATTTTGGAAAACATTCAACCTCCCAAGTTCATGTGAATAGAAGGGATGCAGAAATGATGCCTGTTTTGAAAAACACCCGTCAAAAATGTAGGATAATGCAACGGGGGAAAAAAAGAGAAAAAGAACAGGCACATTCTGTCATGTTAATGGAGAAGTTCTGTGCAATAAGCAACAAGTTAGGGAGTGTTTGGTAGAAAAAAGGAGTTGTGTATCTATTAATGAAAAGTCAGCTCTGAGCACTAGAAGATGCTGAGAAAGCAGATAAGCATGGGATGGGTGGTTGGACAACCAAGAATGAGAGAGAATTAAGTTAGAAACAGGAGCTGTGGGGCAGAACAGATACATGGTGGAAGCTCTTCTGGATATTTAAATATGCTAGTTTTAGGGGTTTGGGTTTTAGCAGTTCAAAAGTTTTGTGAAATAAATTTTGCAAATGCGCCTTTTCATTGAACTGTTCAAGAACCTTGTACGAAAAGGTCCCAGTTTCTCTGGTCAGAATCTGGGACAGAGAGAGAACAAATCTGAGAGAGATAAGAGGCCGTTGTGCTGACTTATGATCTGGGGTACCAGGTTTTATTTTTTCTTGCTCTATACATGCCTTTCACATCTGCTGCTGTGCTCAAGGACTAAGTCTAGAGTTCTTCCTCTGTGCAGAGATGCATTTTGCTTTAGTGCCACATCTCAACTTGAGCTGTCAGCTATGCTGTAACTTACCACAGTAGTAATTTTATTAGTGACTGTGCTTTTGGTTAAGCAGGAATTTGTGCATGACAAAAATATAAGCCATTTCCAAAAACCATTAGAGCTTTCACATGAAAACAAAAACTCTTTTCCCCTTTAGGAAAACATGAAATACATTTAGTAACTTCGAAACTTCCTCGACATGTAGCTGTAAGAAGTTATAAAGAGCATATGGTGCCAAGTGCATAAAACAATATTTCCTACCACAATAAGGATTTAAATATCGTTACCATGCCTGGCCAGCAGTAGCAGTAGGTCATTATGAAGTGCTGCTTTGCTATTTCTTCCTTGGTTAGCATAGTATGGAGCAATATGCCAGCATTATTACAGAAATGTGGTCTTACTTTATTTCTTTTTCTGGGTTAACATGACATCTCTACATGTTCATGTAAATATCTGATGAGCTGTGATGCTTTTATAGTTGTTTATCTGGGATTAAACAGCTCTTAAATTTTCACTTTTTTAGACTTTGCATAGCAAATGGGCTGACATCACTGGGCATGGAAAACATGGAAATACAAGCACTGACTTTGGGATATGTAGGGGTCAAACTGGCACATCATTTTCAGTCTTAAGTAATAAACTTAGTTCTATTTGTAGAAGTGATGGGTGATTTGAATATTTTCAGTGGAAGAGGTGACATTGTTGGCAGAATTTGCATTCAGATCTGAAATCTGGAAGGGCTCAGTGTGCTTGTTTTCAGGTGTTCAATTGTATCTGACGTGATGTTTATTGGAGCAAAATTAAATGCATGGGTGGTTATTTGAATAAATTAATGTTTTTGACTAGAGTTTTCTCTTTCCTTTGTAGATGCCTGAGAAAAGACGTGCAAAGAAATGAAAGGAGCATAAGGAGACTCGCTTATATTATTGCAACTTGCCATAATCACAAAGCTGCTTTTGAAGGCTCTTTTTACGCACTTTCTGAAAAATAAATGCTCGACATCGGCCATGCCCTGTTCCAAGAAAAAGCAAATCTCAGCAGATTAGCATTGTTAAATATGCAGTGTGTTAAACATACACTGCTTCAAATTTTATAGCTTACACACGATTGGTCTATCGGGCCCTTCCAGGAAAGCACTTACGAGCATGCCTAATGTTAAGCACATGAGCAGTGATCCCAAAGTCAGCCGTGTTGTTGGTGTGGGTAAGTGCTTTGCTGGATCGGTGCCTGCAGCCCTGTTAGGTGCTGAGCATCCTGATCCATATCCAGCAAAGCACTTAGGTCCATGCTTATCTTGAAGTGGAAGAGCCAGTCTAGTATTTGTGCATTAGTGTTCACCATAAAATCTCTCTTGGCACAATGACTCATATGCTTAAAATTAAGCACCTGCCCAAGTATTTTGCAAGGTCAGACCAACTGCATCCTTGAGCAAGTCTTAAATACTTGATTTTCCATGATTTTTTTTTTACTCATTTTTTAATAAAATGTATGGTTTTAGTGACCATAATTACAAGTTTTAGAAGGTGTATAGCAGAATATGTTTGTATAGCATGTTCTATGCAATTTTCTTCCTTCTTTTTCAAAATCTATCCAAATTCAGAAAAGTGGCCTTTTTGGATGAGAGGTCCAATGTTCAGTTATAAAATCAAGCAAAATTTAAAAACCCAATATTGACTCTTTTTAGGACATTTAGACTTTTTAAAATAATTTCACTGAGTTTGATTTACACTATTTTGTCTAATACTGACCTGTTTTACAGAAGGTGTCACCTAGATGAGGTTGTGTGGACAGTCTGACTCTAAGTGCTAAGGCTTCGGGTAGGTTGTGTGTTCAGAAGGTTAGATGGAGAAGCTGGCTTTTTTTAATTTTACTTCTTTTATTCTGAGGGATTGCAAACATGTATAAACATGTATAAAACAGCATGTACATTTTGTGTTAAGAACTAAACCAAAACTTGTGTAATTCTTCAGGTAAAAAAACCCCCAAAACCTAATTATCTTTTCTTTATTAATGTAAGTGACACTTTCGGTGGAGTGAGCTTCAACCAAAATGTCAGCCTGTGTTTATATAAAACATGGGGAAAGTGGATGCTAATGAGATCCTGAAGTGATATTTGTCATATGCAGTCTGATGTTCTTAACTTAAATATGTGTATATCAAGCTACTATTAATATGTAACACTTTGCTGGAGAACTTTTTAAAGTTAATAATTGACAGGATTTTGAACAGAATTAATGTTTAATTCTGTAAATTCCAGCTGTGACCCCAGTTCACAGATGCCTACAGCAAATGACCAAAATGCATGGTAAAGCTTGAAGATATTTGAAGTGTTCTAGGTAAAATGTAAAGAAATATTTTACATCAACTCTAGCAAATTTTCCCTGACTTTGAGTAAAGAAGAGCTCCAAGAAGAGTTTATTATGACCTTGCTGAAAACTAAATTCCAAGACAGGGGCAATAGCTTATTCAACTTTCTTTTCAACTGATCCTGTTCATCTCTGTTTCAGAATATGAAAAACCTGAGCTGTTAACTGTTTAGAAATCATATATGAAAGGAAATGTAATCTGAAAGCTTTTTTTAGGAATTTGCACTGAATTATTTTTGTTAGTCTGGTGAAGCACTTTCCCTTTTTAAGGAAAAAATATTTATTTTAACATCCTTTTTAGGAATACTGCAAGACTATTGTATGGGTCCAAAATGAAATTTCTATTTTTCTAGCTTACATTAAAAAAGCGCTTGATATGTGAATTAAGAGGATATATATATTTCATATATGGTTCCATATTTTTGTAATATTTTATTTTTAATTCATGTACAAGAAATAAATGCCTTTGGAATAATTTACTGATTATTTCTTCACTAGCATCACAGAGAAATACAGAGAAAAACGCGATGCAGTCAGGCTACTGATGCTGTTACCCTCCACAGGGTAGTCAGTAGTTTTTGGACTAAGTTAAAGGAAATAATGAATCCTGATATAAATACGAATCTAAAAGTTCATTAAGACAGACTCAGTGATGCAATTAGGCTAATCCCTGAAGACCTTACTGTACTGGTGTTCTGAAGAGAACCCATCCATATGTACATAGAGTTGCTGGCCTACATATTCTGGATATTTTCATTTTCCTCAACATGGTGGTGAATCTTTGAGCGATGGTGGGATGAAGAGAGTAGAGGTAAAGAGAATTATGTGATTATTTGTGTAACTTTTTACATATTTTGCATTCTTCGCCATCACATATGTGATGTATAGGTGCTCCATCACAGACTGACACAGAACTGATAAACAATGTTTTTTTAATAGCAGACAGTTAATAAAACACAGAGGAAAAGCTGTTCCTCTGCCAAAACATTATCCCAGTATCACCCTGATATTATAAGTGCTGACATGAGGCTTCAAGGCTGTTAGGATAGTTACAGCCATTTCATTTATAAAATCCAGACAATACGGGGCAAAGCAAAGGTGATGGGTATTTTATTTAGCCATCAAGTTGGTTTATTTGCATTAATGAAACCAAGCAAGAGCAGAAGTAAGGTTTGTACCATTTCATATACCCAGCACTTATCTGAAGAGAAGTACCAGTGCTAGCAACAAAGCAATAGGGCAGTATCTATTTAAATACGAAGTAGCATTTACACTTCTTATTCAAGGAAGTCATCTCATAAGGCATTGCAAAGACTAAGGAAAACAGCACATTGCTTTATGTTCTTAAATAGCTTCTACAGCTCATGTCCATGCTGAGCTCTCTAGTACACTCTCTGTTCACAACTGTTGTCTTTTAGGGTCTGTCACAGTCCAAATTGCCCTAATTTTTCCAAAGCTCCCTTTTAAAATGCACTGTGTACCCTGAGATAGTTGCAGAGCAAGCAATGGTGTCAGGTAAAACAATGCCCCAGTGAGGCTCATCAGTTTTTGAAAGGGGAAGCTAATAGGAAGCGAAAAGTTCTGCTTTAAAATTTGGCTTCTTATTTGGGATTAAGGTCATTGTTTCACCCTTTCCCTTTTCAATCTAAGGACCTATTTCTTTTTCCGAAGATGTTATAGCCCCATCTCCCCTTGACTTCAGGCCAACTTGAGCAAACTGTTTCAGAACAGGAATCCACGTTCATGAAGACAGCCAAAATCAAAGCTCTCTGCAGCCCAAGTTGTGAATGGAATCATCACCATTCCTTGAATTCCTTGTGTAAACTGGCATTGCTGCAGGTTCTTTCAAAACAGTTCAGAGTTGATTCAGTAGGGGTTAAAGTGAAAAAAAAAACCCAGCTTGATGTACTTTCTTCTCTTGTAGTCAATCCTACACTGGAGAAGCTAAGCAGAAAGGTTAGACAACAATGAAGATGGAAATGAAGAAGAAGGCAGCAATGATGACTCAAATAAAAAAGACAGTGTTGTAAATGAAGGAAAAGTATGCAGTGAGGACAGAAATAGTGGGAAAGGAACTGATGAAGTGAAAGTGGAAAAAGACCACTATGAGGCTGGACATGAAGGCAGCTACAGCAGTGCTGGTGCAAATGAAAAAGAATATATTTAATTTCTGCTGAATTTCTCTACCTTTATTACACTAGTCACAATATGGCCTTGCCAGGGATCTGGTGCCACCTGAGTGGACATGCTGGATACAGAGATCGGGCTGCTGTTTTCAGCACCTTTCCTCCAGATGCAGTAGCATGGAGCTCAATCCTGCTGCTTCCATATGAGGTGGAACCCCAAATGTCATGCCCTTTGCAGAGCTCACATCATCTCCAGACAGCAGCAGGTGGCATTTGGCGGCTTGTGCGGTGTCTGCAACTCCTTACATGTTTTTCACCTTTCTCCTGACTTCAGTTTCCTCCCCCAGCGTCACATGCCTTCAAGTCTCACCTCTTGATGGTACAACTACTGGACCACGCCCCTTCTCATATTTCAAAATATCTTGGTGCCACCAGTGCCTGAAGGCTCTTAATGAGTGAGTACCACTGGCATCAGCTACTGGTGCTGCACAGAGAGACACGTTCCCAAAAGTGAATTGGGGCTGGGCTGTCTTCCTGCAGAGTTCACATGGAAAGGAATAGAAAACAACTGCAAGTTGCACTGGGAGAGCTTTTGTCATGACATAGAAAGAAATTGCTTATGTTAGGAACAATTATTCACTGGAACAACCTTTCACTGGTCCCATCACTGAAGATTTCAAGACACAGTTGGATAGGGTGCTGGATAATCTCATCTAGGCTCTTTTTCCATGAAACTAGTTGGACCAGATGAAGTTTTGGAGTCCCTTGCAACACGGGCTGTTCTATAATTCTGTGAAATCTGTAATGGATGTGGCACGACAGAATTGCAGCAAGAGTGAGTGCTATGTACCTTTTTCCCTGTCCATTGGTTAGGGAGTGCAGCTTTGGCAGAGAAGAGATCTTCAGGGAGGATTATTTGCTTTGGTTTTTATTTCCAAAGCAGTTGTCCCTGTATGCATATGCCTGACTTGATCATTTTCCTTCCAGGACTATTGGTTAAGTGGCAAACAGCACAGGCCAAATGATCTGCAGAGATCAGAGAGTTTTGTTGTTGGTTTGTTTGGGGGTTTTTTTTGTTTTTTTGATTGGTTGGTTGGTTGGTTTTTTTGGTTTTGTTTTGTTGGGTTTTTTTTGTTTGTTTGTTTTTTGTTTTGTTTTTGTGGTTTTTTTTTTTAGGAAAATATGGGGGGGAAGGGGCTCAAAGGCTGCCAGGAAGGTTGTGGAGTATCCTGCTCTGGAGATATTCAAAACCCACCTGGAGGCACACCTGTGTAACCTGCTCCAAGTGACCCTGCCCTGGGCAGGGAAGTTGTACTAAATGATCCAGAGGGCACGTCCAACCCCAACAGTTCTGGCACTCTGATAGGACTGGAAATAAAGGAGTAGAGGTAGGAAGGGCAGAGAGAAGAGAGAGCTTGAATAGCACAGGGAAGTGAAGGGACCATGGTTCAGCACTTTTCCATGCTCTCATTTTTCTGGAAGTCGTGCTTCAAATGTTCTTCTTTACTTGTGCCAGTGGTATGTGTAAACCACTAGGTAGCAGGCAACTACTAAAAAAGCAGTAACTCATTAGAATGGACATGCTACTCCATGACAAGAAGAAAATGTTACTGGACCCTTTTAAGAGAAAACCACCACAGAAATGAGTTTGCCAGTAGCACTTACAAGGATCAGAAAGATTCTTGGTGCAGTTTGCCAGGGCCTTTTTCAGCAATTCTTCATAGAAAACTGTTTATTTTTACAGTGTGCAAAAGAGTCCTACTTGGCTTAGAAGACACTGAGAGATGAGGTATCTGTCCCAGTGGGCTTACAGAATAACTACAAACAGCGACATTCTCAGATGTCCTCATACTTGTGTCCATGTGTTCTGTTCCATGTGTGTGTGAGTATTTTCAACTCTGCCAAAGTGTAACCACACAAATCCTATTGGGCAGAAAGGGAGCTGTGTATCTAAATTCTGTCCTGGGGTTTGGAAGCATTGAGCTTAAACTAACAGTGTGGTATAAACAGTGTGTTTTTGGGTTGGCATAATCTAAGCCATTATGTTCACAATACCTGGTCTCCATGAGTGAAGGTAAGGGCTTGGGAAGGAACAGAGCTTCAGTGGGTAAACACCTGGCTGCACATCTGGTGCCAACAGGAGTCAGGCATTCACAACTGTGGAACCCACTCTGAGGACTAAGAGCTGCTAGGAACAGGTGGGACCCATCTGACAAAGTGGAGAGTTTGCCCAAATGGAGAGTTGTGACAGATGGATACAAGCTCAGGAACAAAGCAGGGAAGATGCAGAGAGGATTATTGTCTATGTGAAGGAGCCTTTTGTACGTATGGAGCTCCTCTATGGAAGAGATAGGGTTGCTTTCTTCCTCCTTTGTGAGGTGAGAACATAACCACCGTCTGTACCCCAAGTTGTCGTTTGTCAGGGGGGAAGGTTGAATAGATTGGAGTCTTTCATTCAAAACCTGGATCCTACTCAGGATTTTGCAG